ATGGATGGATGGATGGATGGATGGATGGATGGATGGATGGATGGATGGATGGATAGGTGAAGTGTTTTTTATCTTGAAAACAGACAATCATGTTTTTAACCACGGTCTTATAATCATTTGTTCCCACAGGTTTAAGGAACATTTCCAGCAAATTTCATCCACTTCTGTGTAGAATTCAATTTTTAAGAGCTGAAGGGAACATCCATTGTTCAAAACATGAAAATGGGCTCCTCCTCTGCGCTCTCATGTCACCAGTAGCTAATGGTCAATGGGCTGTATAGCACTCAATGAGAGCATCCTACATGTCAAATTTTGACACAAAGGGATTACCTTCTGCGTTAATAAGTGACGCCAAGGGAGCCTGAACATATGATGAGTAGAGAGTGAGAACGTGTTGTCAAGACAAGTGAATGTAAGCAGACAATCTGACAGAAACAACAGGAGAGAGATGATTATAGTGAACAGGTGTGCCACTTACTAAGACAAGTGATCTGTGAGAAGCTGGAAATAAGAACTATGTTCATATATTTATAAATTTTGTGACGTAAAATTGTCAGATAATTTGAAGTTTAAACCGAATGATGCAGGCTGACACAAGGAGCTTAGAAAGAAAACTTCAGGATTTAATAATGATAAAGGAACAAAAACAAAACTCTGATGTGGCAGTAAAATACAAATTAACACAAAGAGCACAGAGAGGAATCAGACAAGGCACTGAATTAAAATGACTGGGGAATGAATGAGCTTTGAAAAAATAAGTAGACTGAGGCTGATAAGGAAAGTAACTGAAGTTAATGATGACAGGGAACAGGTGTAAGTGGGCGGGACAAGACTGAGGTGTAGAAACTGACTGAGGAAAACTACTGATGCTTAATTGAACACTGGGGTACGACTGAACTCAAGGGAAATACAGAACATAAACATCACAAGGAATAAATATAACAAGAAAAAAAATCCTAAAACAAAAAAATAAAAATAAAAATAAAATGCTGAAAAAACACAGGTCGTACACAGAATATTGTTTTCCTACATGATAAGAGATTAAAACCTCTTGGTCTATATACGTGTTGTTTTCAATTTAACTATAAAAACAGACGTTTGTAAGATCCAACATTTAACAAGGAAACATGACAGTGAACAAAGCTTGAGACACACAAAAACATTTGTGTTCTGACAGCAGCCCTGCACACAAAAACTCAAGCTCATTAACTCTGACACTCAAACAATGCCTGATATTAAACTCTCAGAAAGCTCATGGAAGTGCTGAGTCACTGAGTTGCAACACAGAACTGTAACAAATCATAAAACAGCCTTTGGAAACACAGTAGGGTCAAGATGGAAGTATAAAAACGTGGCTGAAACTGCTTTAGCCTCTTTTCTGTCTCCAACTTTATTTGTCTGTGAAGTTCTTT